TTATAGGCTCTCTGAACTGTGCCCGCGCACAGATCTGGGTCGGCCACCTATGGGTGGCTGGCACTGGGCCGAGCCACCCATGGGTGGCTCGGCTCTTGGCCGAGCCCCCCTTAGGCATTGGGTTTCGTCGTTTTGCCGTCGTTCCCGTTTTGTCTGTGATTCTTCGAGTCCGAAACTGATCTTGATTCGATCGTGATTCGTCCGAGTCTGCCCTTGGTTGGATGACTCGTTGACTCTTCGAACACTTGGCTTGATTCCACACGCGAATGGATGTATTCCGTTGCTTACGTGCGATTCGTCAACCTCGTCACCTCGTTGGTTCGTCGGTTTGTGCCGAGCTATGCTAAGGGACCTATAAGCAATTTTATACGCCTACAGTAGCCACCACCTGATCTTTCGTGAAGTCGTATTACCTTTGCAGGCATTGCTCGAAAGGCTTGGGCTTTTGCCTCTGCACGGGTTTGGGGGCTGGAGTAGAATCAATAGCCATGATCTCCTTCCTACTTGACCAAGGGTTCCTAGAGGTGTTTGGTTCTGAAGCTCTGCTCTTTGGTTGAGGTTCTTCATCTTCCAATCTTTTGATTAAGTTCTCAACTGGCTCACCTTAGCAAACAAGTTTCTTCCAGGTCTGGGTTTCCACAACCCCGACTCTAGACAGAATATCGATCGAGAGGTTATTACGACACATCTCAACCAGGGTACTCAAGGAGACTTGGTCCCGACACTGAAGCGACTAATTTCTAAATCTCTTGACAAAATTGTTGACTGACTCCGTCTTCTTTTGTTTGTTGGTTAGTAGGGTGGCCATCGATACTTCTGTATCATCATCGAAGAAATGAGCTAAGAAAAGCCTCTCCACATCGGCCCATGAATTATTAGAGCCTAGCTCCAACTTACAAAACCATTCAAAGGCTACCCCCTTTAGGGTTTCGATGAATAGTCGGGTGAGGATGACATTGTTCCCCATGAGAAATCTTGTCTAAGACAAGAAATAGTAGATATGCTGCGAGGAAGATCCCTTACCATCAAATTGGACCATGCTCATCGGCTTGAACTTTGCTGGATAGGAGACCGTGTCTCATTCGAGTAGATACGGCCTGATCACCCCCAGCTCACTCATGTTCCTCTAGAGTTTCAAGGCGTCGAGTTGGCTCCGGAATTCATCGAGCCTCTTTTCTCGAGGAGAGCTGCCAGAGCGGGACATCCTTTCTGAAGATTTGTAGGAATAATCCGAACGTGATCCATGATTATCCTCCTCTTCAGATGCGTGAGGAGGAGTAAACTCTCACTCTCTGTTCCTCAAGGGTCCTTGCCAGTTCTGTGAAGTTCTCTTCTTCTTCTTCTTGCTCAGAAGTTGTGCCATCTACTCCTTTAGAGAGTTGATGGTCGCCTGCTGCTCCTTAAACTTCTTGGTCAAGTCTTCCGAGGATTTGGCCATGTGCACCTTTGCATGCTTTCCATAAGCTGAGCTTGATGTCAAAGATGTTATCGCTGCTGAGCACACGTCATCCTCGTTATCGTAGATGGGTGATAAATAGGCATAATCAAACGAGATAGCTACTTCTGTTTGAAGGCGAGTGCGTTGGTGTACACCCCTATTTTCAACAGGGGGCCATTTGAATCCCGTGGTATATTCAGGATCTGATCAATCCGAATGCCAGGATTTACCCTTTCCTATCATGTTGACTGTGGCTGTTGAAAGCTCTATGTCACCTATGGCTCACCTTTTCTGATGATGGCGTCTTCGACAGGGATGTCTTGGCTTGGGAGATTGTTGAAAAAGCCTCCTGAAGACTGATGGTTTTGACACCATAGTGCACTGGCAGTTGATAAGTACTATCTGGATGAGCCTCTTGCAATGACACTAAGGATTTATCTCGTGAATAGTGCGTTTGCGAGTTAGATGATCCCTAAGATCACATGCGGGTTAGTGGTGGCAACCCCTAACGTCAGAAGGACCAGATGTCTAATTGCTTGGAAGAGACTCAAAGGAGTCGGAGTGAGAACATTTGGTAGTGTCGACTTCATGCGACCTTGACTTGACAGGAGAGGCCCAGAATTTGGATGACCTTCAGCCGACTGCTGGCGACCTTCAGCCGACTGCTGGCAAGCCCGAGCCGACTGCTGGCGAGCCCGAGCCGACTGCTCATTCAGGTGACCTTGCCTTGACAAGCACAGTCTGAAGTTTAAGCGAGCTTCAATCGACTGCTGGCGAGCTCATACTTTCTATTCAATCAGGCGAGGTTTGCTCTCTTGAGTTGTTCTGGCTTTGCCTTTTTGGTTAAGGCTGGTTCTTAGACGGTCCTGCTGGGGTTCGCTTGCATGACTGCTTCTATTTGCGGGGTGAAGCTCTCCTATTGTGTGGATCTCGCCTGTTTGAAAATGTGGCTCGCCTGATCTGGGCGACTCGCCTGATTTGGATAGATGACTTGAAGAACGAAGCCCGTCTGATTTGGTGGGCTTGCTTGAGTTGCTGAGTTCGCCCAAGTGGGGAACTCGGCTGCTGGAGCGATGCTTGCCTGAACTGTCAGGCTTGCTTGGAATGATAAGTTTGTTAGTTTGGGGAATTCTGCTAGTGTAAGGGAACCCGCTTGAATAGGTAGGCTCGCCCGATCAACTTGATCCGCCAAAATTGGGAACTTTGCGTTCTTGTCTGACTTTCCTCAGGCCTGAATAGTAATTTAGGCCATCGTAGGAGATAGAGGCTTGGGCTTCCTAATGAGCAAGAGCTTGTCTTCACCACCATTGGGCTCTTTTGGAGAGGGGGAGACTCATGTTGACGGCGAAGGTGTGGTCCGCGTCGACATGAACCACAGTCTCTTCTTTCATGGAGGACTGCGTGGGTTGCTTGAGAACCCAACGAGCAGCCCTTTGTCTTGTTTGGTTAGCCTTGATTGGCTTGGGAGAGATAGAACCCCCTGCTTTAGCTCGAGTAGAGCTCTCAGGCGCTGCTACATCGACCACTTGGGGTCGGGCTACATGCGTGACTCTATAGAGCTTGTGTGATGCATGGCTACCAGAGGAGGAAGAAGACAACTATTCTTCATACTTGGCTTGGTCAAACTCAAATATAAGGGACTCAACAGTTGTCCCTTCTGCAACTTTGTCAAACTGCGCCATCACCAATTCATCTGAGTAAATGGTTTGTCCCACTATGGTCACCATCTTCTGTTAGGTGTAAAAAATTAACTTCATGGCTCGAGGGGTCGTTCGTATTTATGAGAGTGGAATATTACAAACTGCAATCAATGTTTTACAACAGAGGACAAGAGAATGGCCCTTCTTATTTAACGTGGGTTAGTTGGCAGTAGTAGGATGCCTCCCTCGGTTCTTACACTGAGTTTGCTTCCCTTGGACCATCTGAACCTCCTTCCTGACTTCAGATTTAAATCGTCGAATTGATCCGCTTACAGACTTCGAAGTTACGGTTGGAGCTTCAGAGCACATTAGAGGCTCCAGAGCGATTGAGTTCGACTGTACCCGAGCTTGAAAAGTATCAAAGCCGTAAGCTTGGAAAGATCTACGATGCAAGAGTTTGCAAAGAGCTGATGAGCCTCAGATCTGAGAGTTCAGATTGAGTCTACTTCAACAATCCAAGCAAGAAGCTAGGAATATTCTACCAAGCAAGTGGGCCCAAAACAAGTCTCTGATTGAAGAGCCTTGCTAATAGCAATGCCAAGCCCCAGCCAATCAGCCACCAACATCCTTTCACATCCTCTCCTCTCTCCTTCATGTTGGCTGAAGGAGGCTTTAAATAGGCAAGGGATAGCATGGGCCATCCTTTGGTTTGTGGGATTTGACCACTAGTGGGTGAGGAGCACCATGTCCTCCCCTAGCTGTGGGATGTGACCACTATAAGGGAGGTCAGAGCTATGCCTCATCATTACCCAGGATGGAGGAAGTGGGTAGGCCCACTCCCATAAGCAAGCAGACCGCTTGCATTGCTTTAGTCGAGGTTAGCAATGCTACGGGAGAGCTTGAGAGCTGTCTGAATGCTCAGGTGAGCTTGCAGGTGAGCTTGGCGAACAGGTGGGGTCGGCTAGCGGGCCCCTCCAACATATGAGTTGGCGTTCTTTGGCAAGTGGAGTTCGTGCGGGCAAACTCCCTACAGGCGTGCCTGGCTCGTGTGGACGAGTGAAGCATTCAGGTGAGGTTGAACTCATGTTGGTGAGCTTAATGATTTGATGAGCTTGATTCATGCGGGTGACTCAAGCTAACAGGTGATGCTCGAGCTCCGCGGGTAAGCTTAGTAAACAGGCGAGATCGAGCTCTGCGGGCGAGCTCAATAGTACAAGGAGAGGTTGAGTTCTGCGGGCGACCTCAACAATTACGAATGGTTGAGCTCTACAGGTGAACTCAATAAATAGGAGAGATTGAGTTATGCGGGCGAGCTCGACAAAAAGGTGAGGTCGAGCTCTATGAGCGAGCTCAACAAGGAGGCGAGGTTGAGCTCTTCGGGCGAGCTTAACAAGGAAAGGTGACCAAGCTCTGCGTGCAAGCTTCATAGATAGGTGAGGTTGAGCTCTATGGGCGAGCTCAACAAAGAGGTGAGGTTGAGCTCTATGGGCAAGCTCAACAAATAGGCGGGGTTGAACTCTACGGGTGAGCTCAACAAACAGCCGGGGTTGAACTCAACGGGTGAGCTAAACGAATAGGGAGGGTTGAGTGTTACGGACGAGCTCAATAAAGAGGTGAGGTTGAGCTCTATGAGCGAGCTCAACAATCAGGCGGGGTTGAACTCTATGGGTGAGCTCAACAAACAGGCAGGGTTGAACTCTACGGACGAGCTCAATAAAAAGACGAGACTGAGCTCTACCGGTGAGCTCAACAAGCAGGCAAAGTTGAGCTCTACAGGCAAGCTCAATGAATATGGGTGATTGAGCTCTGCAGGAGAGCTCTGCTAGGCTTTGTTTGAATGTAAACGAGCCCAAGCTCTTGGCAGGCGGGCTCTGACACTTAGGTAATTTTCACTGCCTACAGATCTATCTCGAATTTCAAACTGACCATGTTTGTAGTCACCTTCTTTTGCACCTTTTCCTTCTTTAGGACTCCCACGTCGTATAGAGCTTGTAGCTTATCCTTAAGGATATAGCACTTGGAGGTATGATGACCAAAAAATCTATGGTATACACAGTAGTTCAGATCATCTGTTTTGTTCACGTCTTCAGGCTTCGTGATCTCTGGCAGCTTGATCCTGCTGCTCTTAAGGAGAGTATCGTAGGTAACCACAACATGGTCTTCCTTGAAGTCGTATTGCCTCGGAGGACGCTGCTCGAAAGACTTGAGCTTCTGTCTCTGAGCTGACTTGGGGGCTGGAGTAGAATCGACAGCCATGATCTCTTCCCCCTCGACCGAGAAGGGTTCCTGGGGGCACTTGGTTCCGTAACTCCTCTTTTAGATCGAGGCTTTTTAGCTTTTAGCTATAGGCATCAAAAATTACCTATAGGTTCCCGCACACAGCTCAAAATAAAGAGAAGATGATGAACGCCATCACTTGAGTCAAATGGGATTATCCATGTCGTAAAAGAGCTAATGAGTGCACGAAGCAAGTCAACAAAGCGTATGAGTCAACAAAACGACGAAATGTGCAAAACGACGGAACAAGACCAAACCGGAGAAGCCCCTAGAAGCCGAGTCACATCAAAATGACTCAGCCAAGGCCAGATGGCTCAACCAAGGTCGAGCCACCCTTGGGTGGCTTGCACAGTGTCGAGCCATCATTTTCGACTGTTTTTCGACGGTTTTCTCATAATGCATTTTCGACGGTTTTTCTTGGGATTTATCCATTTCAGAGCATCCTAACTACTTTGATATCATCTCTAAATGTGGTTAAGCAGTTGTTAACTAGGGATAAGGTAAAATCATCAATTCCAATCCTAAAATGCTGCATCCAAAGCCTATAAATACAAGCCTAGGGCCCCTATACATAGGGGATCTGAAATAGATGAGGTGTTGTCCCTATGAAGAGTGAATCATGAGTTTTAAAGAGGCTAGAAGATCTTGGTGAAGTTCTTCAGTATAAAGAGGGAGAGTTCGAGAGATCTGAGGCCTATTCCCCTATCCTCCGGATCAAACTTGGTTTTGATCTCGAGAAGAGTAGTAATCTCTCTAGGTTGAGATTATTTACTTCTACGAATACTTCCTTTGTGACGTAAGAGCATTACATTTTTATTCTGTCAACCGGATTTGATTCGCAGTGGTCCACAGACTAATGCGTCCCCGGCACAGGAAAAGATCCCATGCAAGCAGTGGGTGATAAACGTCTTCTGTGTGTGTTTGACGAGAGTTGTATTTTTTTATTTTATTTGTTTAAGCTAGAAGTCTTATAAAAAGACTAACTCTTTTTAATTCATTGTAATTGATATACATGTAATGGATTTTATAAATAAACTAACTTTCAACGCAAACATGTTGGCGACCATAGTGGGAGCCAACAGCCTCTCTGCTGAGGCTGTAGTATCGCAACCAAGGATCCTGATCCCGGTTGATATGGGGTTAAATACGAGTTTGACCAGCAAAAGTACGAGGTGTACATGTCTTCCTCCTCCATATCCTCCTCCCCTCGCAAGCGCAGGAAGATCTCCTCCTCAAGGAAGGTCCACCAGTCTTCAGATCTGAAGACCTAAGATGATGATCATCTCCTTGTTGCTACTACACTTACCCCTCACATCGCCCTTTTGGAGTCCAATGAAGCTAGATTTATTGATTTGAACTCCTCATCAGTCAAGGGGTTAACTTCTGAAGGCACACCAATTTTGTCGAAGAAGGCTAGTCAAAGGCAACGCTAATGCCTTGCTTGTCAACTAACCAAAACCCTAGAGACGGTTGACGGGATCTGTTATGAGATGGATTTGAAATTCAGGAAGCGTCAAGCGCCTCAGTAGCGACCAATTGGTTCCTCCTCCAAACCATCAACTGATGAATGGGTCCGCATCAAAAGGATCCATTCAACTCTTGAGAAACGAATCCAAAAGCACCATGCACTACTCGCGCACACACGGATTCTTGTGGATGAGGAACAAAAATTGTAAAAGGAAGAGATGGTCAACAAACCACCAAAACTATGCCAAGTTTGGAGGCAAAAGTCTAAAATAGGATAGAAAAACTACCCGAAGCTGTCAGGAAATGCGAGCCAACTCAGGCTAGCTCGTACGTGGTTCACCTCCTGCGAAGTTTTTCGTGTCTCCGACAGCCCCTGTTCCTATCCCGATGGATCCCTTACCTCCGGTAAAGCCCCACGACAGCATGGATTTGTCCTGATTCAAGATAAAGATCATAGATTGTCTCAGTCCTTTATATGAGGATTGAGGCAAAGCTCTGATTAAAGAGCGTTTGGGTCCGGTAAACAAATCCCGAGCGACTCTTTAGGTTGGGAGTCGTACGGTTCCTCCCAACTAGTTGAAGCCATCCCATATCGAGAAAACACCCGTAACCGTCCGCTTGGCGTTACGTGTCTGGGCTCAGGAGCCCATTGAGATTCCACACTCGTAAGGGCGTGGATCTAAATATGCGACTCCTAAGAATGCCAACAAGGCGTTACATACCCGAAAGGAGACGTGTTCGTTACATGACAACGTCATATCTAGGGAATCAAATTAACAGCTGATAGGTTGCCCCGACCGCAACACTGATGAGTTGTATTATCAGGTTAGGGGTATGAAGAAATCTCGAAAGAGAAGTGTCCTAGAGTCAGACTCTCACTGTCCTTATGAGAGGTTAATCAGGGCAATATTATCAGAGTATAGCTACCCTAAGACCGCTCCACGGAGGGACTCGGTATTCGAGAGAATCTCCACCAAAGTGTCCAAATCTAAATCAAGACGCTTCTACGAGAGGAAATCTGTCGGTCATGATGATGAGCTACTAGAAGTTACCATCTAGTAGCTGATAAAGGAAAATCGACAAGGCGTTACAGCCTTGACTCTTTATCGGAGGCATCTCAGCGCATCACTTAGTTAAGGTCACGAACTAGATGACCTAGACTAGATAGAGGACACTCCTCGGAGGATGAAATGTTAAACGCTAACTCCAGAATCACTTCCGACAATACGGTGTCCAGCATAGGAAAATCTCGTGAGGTGTTCATGATCAATGCTGAACAAATGGCTAAAATCCTCAAAGATGCTCTGGCCAAACAGAAAGAGAATTTCAAATTCAAAATGCAAATGACTGTGCAACAGATAAGGGAATTGCATTATCAACAGATTGAAGCCTTATCAAAATAGTACGATGAATCTACTCATCGTAACACCACTAATCAGGTAGATAGCAATTCGGAAGTTGAAGAAAATATCAATGCTGATACCCCTCCTGTTGACCAAAATGCTAGGAGTGGTCCCACCGAGGATGATAACACTGGGGGTGGTCCAGTTATTCCTCCCCGAAATCGCCCGAGAAGAATACAGGCAAGGATGAGAAAATGAAAGACCTAGAGAGGAAGATCAACAAATTGATGCCCACTCAAGAGGTAAAGAAGACTGGTATTTTGTGTCCCTATCCAAGAGAGTGGGAGTTGATTCCACATCCGGCAAAGTTTAATCTAATCAACTTCATGCCGTTCGATGGGAAAGGCTCCCTCACTCAGCACTTAATCTACTTCAAGTCCCACCTAGGCCTGATCTCTGGTAATGAACCCTTAATGGTCCGGTCATTCGTTGGCACCCTTCACGGAGCTGCCTTCGATTGGTACCATTGTCTCAAGCCAGGAAATACCAACAGCTGGGATGATATGGAAAGATCTTTCCTCAACAACTTCTTCGACTATAACACCAAAGTGTCGATTCGAGCCCTTTTGGATGAGAAGCAAAAGGACGAGGAGTCAGTTGATAGCTTTGTTAAACATTTTCACAACAAGGCAATGAATTACAGGGATCCTGACATAGAGGAATTCATCTTGCAGACATACCATAACAATCTCTCCATTGATGTACTAGAAGCCCTAGGGGTCGTGCTATCCACAACATGGAAAGAATTAAAACTGCACGGGGAACATGCCGAATGCTTTCTCAAAAGAAAAAAGCTTGAAAGAGTACAACTGACGACTAACCCCCGAACTCGAATTTTGCTTCTCGTTGTAAGGGGAAGGCACCTGCAACAGCTATTAATACTAATCAGATGTCACAATAGCAACCTCAGAAGTAGCGAAGGACTCCGGATCCAAGACTCTAAAAAGAGTACTCCTTCAAGGATGAAGAGGTTCCAGATATCTTCAAATACCTCCTTGAAAACAACAAAATTAAGCTGCCACCTATTACGAATCACGAGGAAGCTAACAACACTTCGGATCCAAAGTACTGTGCGTACGACAGGAGGATCCTTCATCCCACCAAAGATTGCTTCTCTCTCAAAAATAATATTCAAGCCTTGGTTGACACCAATATCATAACGCCGAAATGAGCTGAATGAGAACGGTCTCCTCCGACAGGTATATGAGGTTAAACTGCTCTATGATACTCTAACAGGTATACGAGTATAAACTATCCCCCATCCTCTGAAGGTATATGAGCTTAAACTGCTCCCTGATACTCCAACGGGTATATGAGTATAAGAAAATATATATGGTTAAACTGCTCCTTGATACTCCAACGGGTATACGAGTATAAATTGTCCCCCATCCTCTGACAGGTATATAAGGTTAAATTGCTCCCTGATACTCTAATGGGTATACAAGTATAAACTATCCCCTTATCCCCCGATAGGTATATGAGTTTAAACTGCTCCCTGATACTCCAATGGGTATACGAGTATAAACTGTCCCCTCGTCCTCCGATAGGTATATGAGGTTAAACTGCTCCCTGATACTCCAACGGGTATACGAATATAAACTTTTTCCCCAACCTCTAACTGGTATATGAGGCTAAACCATTCCCTACCTTTGACGGAAAGTTCCTAGAAAATATTACACATAATATTCTTAAGGATAACCCAACAACCTCTGATAGGTATATGAGGTTAAATTGCTCCCCATATTTCCAACAACGGGAAGTTCCTAGAGAATATTACTCTTAATATTCTTAAGGATAACCCAACAGTGTGGTCGAATATAATTGGATTCAGGTTCGCCAAAGAGCTGTGGGTGGAATACCTCAATGCATTCTAATGGGAAGTTTCCGGAGAATACTACACATGGTATTCTTAAGGGTAACCTAAAACCAATTGATTATTCAGGATAAAAACCAATCATAGAAAAAATTCATTCATAATAATGATTAAGAACCTCCCACTATGGCTACTTAATCATTTCCAGGATGATTAAAACCCTCCTACTGTGACTTTTCGAGCACTCTTTAGTTGAGATGAGATTTAATAACCTTATTCGGTCAATCTTCTATCAC